AGCAGGGAGCCCATGGCGGCCGCGGACAGGGCGGGCGGCCCGGGGGCGCAGAGCGGCAGCGGCGGCACCGGCACCGGGACCCGCACCCACGGCGGCGGCGCGGGGCACGCCGGGACAGCGAGTCCTCCTGCCCCGGGACTACAGCTCCCGGCAGCCACCGCGGCGGCGCCTACCAACGGTGGGGGCGGTGGCATTGGCTCCGCCGGCAGAAGGCGCTGCGGCAGAACGGGGATGACGATGGGAATAGGAATAGGGCTGGGAATGGGAAAGGAACAAGGATGGGAACAGGAGTGGGCTCAGGGATGAGCATGGGGCACTCTGCATGGGAGGGACCCGGACGTGGAGATCACCGGGGCACACCTTAGACGGAGAAGCCCTTGGGAGCTCACGCAGGGACGCACAAGGAGGATGCTTGAGGACGCATCCTGTACAGGGAAGCACAGGGAGGATGGATGCCAGGGACACACCTTGCACAGGGATGCAGAGGGAGAATGCCCAAGATCATGCTCTGTGCAGGGATGCACGGGGGGGATTCCCAGGGACACATCTGGCACAGGGAAGCACAGGGGAGATGCCCAGAGAGACACAGCCTGCACAGGGATGCCAGGGAAAATTATCCAGGGCACTTCCCAGACGTGGGACCTGCTACTGACTGAGGCTCAAAGCCAGCAGGAAAGGAGGTGATCTGCCTCCCATCTTGGAAGCCTCCCCTTTCTGGGTTCCTCCCCTCACTAATCCACACATGAAAGGAAATGGAGATGCCTGAGGTTTGGATGTGAGGACAGGGAATGGCCACAGGCTGCCTCACATGTGGGACAAAACAGTCGGGAGGATAGCGTGGAGCAAGAGGCACGAAAAAGCCACCAATGTCCCAAGACTGAGCCATTATGTCCCCTCTGGCACCGAGAACACAGAAAAGCCACTCCCTGTGATGGGAAGTACCTCCCTGCACATAATGCTGCAAAGGAACTGGGGACCCAAATTCCCAGCAGTGGAGTTGGGAATCACTGGGAGACGTGAAGGAGCTGAGGCGGCACATGTGAAATCCCTTAGATTGGCCTTCGGAGCAGGGAAGAGGGCTGGGATTTAGGGAGATGGAATGGAGCAGGGAGCAGAGCCTGCCAGCACAGGAGGATTTTGTGATAGCAAGTGAGCAGGCAGTGGGTGGAATTTGCTGGCTGTAAACACAAACTAAAACACGCCCAGCAGGAATAAGCAAACAATCCCAAGGCGAAACGTGCTTCCGGACAGTTATTATCCTTGCAGCTGTTGTGGCCACACAAACACAGCCACAGGGGCTGGAAGAGGCACGGGATGCAGGGGAACACATGCTGGGGGTGAGGACAGGAGCAGAGCTTGCTCTTCTGCATCCCATTGTGCAGTAGGGCTGGGAAGGAGGACAAGGAAAAAGTAGGGAAGGAGCAACAAGTCCTGCTGGCCAACCACAAGAGTTGGGTACCCTGCACCTGGCACAGGGGAGCCCCAGGCTCTGGCCGTGCCTTGGCAGTAACTGTGCCTGTGCCCCCCAGGATCCCCCTGGCACCTGGAGGGCCACTGCCTCTTGCTCAAGCAGCCTCTCCGTGCAAGCATTCCTCATAACATGGACAGGGAGGGATGGACTCTGGATGGAGCCTGCTGACCATCACAGGGACTCATGCGCTGGCCCAGAGCGTGTCCAGGGCTCCCTGCCTGCACAGCCACAGGAACAAGTTCTGGGCAGTGCCCTGGCAGCAGTGGGATGATGTGAACAGCTTGTGTGCCACCAGCAGCCCCAAACTGAGCAGGGTGAATCCACAACCCCTGAGGCTCACTCTGCAGGCCAGCAGCTAATGTGGGGCTCAGTGCTGGAGCAGACTGGCACAGCAAGGATCAGTGGGTCCATCTCCCTGTGCTGCCCTGAGAACTGGTGGCCAGCTGGTCACAGCCTGGGGGCAAACAGAGTAGTGTTTGCACCATGAAGCAGGTGAGGAGGGAAATTTGCATCAGACAAAGATGAGAGTCCCTCTCCCTTTCCTCACACAACCTGAGCACTGAGAGAGCATCCTGCCCTTCTCCAGCCCAAAGAGGCATCCAGAGGCAGCTGCATCAGAGCTGTTCCCCAAGCTTTTTTTTGCGACAGAATCATGAGATCCTAGAATGGTTTGGGTTGGAAGGGACCTTAAAGATGGTCTCGCTGCAAACCCACATTCCCTGAGCACCTAAGAGCTCGGTGCCATGTGCGTTAAGCAGGGGAGAGCCAGGTCCCGCAGCCGCGGTGTGCTGGCTCTGCCCGGGAAGCTGCAGCAGGAGATCTTTTGTTCGTGCAAAACCCCCACCAGCGGGAAGGTCCCTCCCGGGCCGCCCGGCTCTGCGGAGCGCTCGCAGGAAGCCGGCGGGCCCCGTGGGGGTTGTTGCCATCTGGGAGGGCAGGGGCTTTTGCTGGAGAATCTGTCCCGGAGGGCCCTGCTCCGTGAGACGTGTGTGACAGACAGTGACAATAGGAGTGGCGTGCCAGGGCCGGGCTCAGCCCTTCCGCCCCGCATCCCAGGGCCCGGAGCGAGCGGAGCTGAAGGGCAGCAGCTCCTTTGCCCCCGCCCGGCCCGCTGGACGCAAGCCCTGGCACACACAAAGGCAGGATATTGCACCACGGCCCCTCCATCCCACCAAGGACCACTGCCAGCAGCACGGGGAAGGAGTGGATGGCTCAGGGCAGGGAGCAGGGCTGCCCTGCCAGGGTCCCACAGCTCCTCAGGTGGGTCCCGTGGGCCGCAGGAGCGGCACTCACCCCTTGCACTGTGGCAGCTGCAAGAAGCAGCAACAGCCCCACAAACCCTGGCGGTGCCACCCGAGTGGGTTTTGCACCTTCACCTCTGGGTTCCCTGAGATGTGTTTGTCCCCATTTTGGTGCTGCCAGCCCCAGGTGTTGCTTGCACCATGAGGGAGGAAAGCCACAAAGATGAGAGGTGCTCTGTGAGAAAGGGATGAAAATACTTTCACAAGGTTCAAGGGACCTGAGACCCTGAGTGCCATCATGGTGTGGGGTGAGAGTGGCCAAACTGGGAAGGACCAGGGTGAAACTGGGCCAGGGCTCCTGCCACCAGAAGCCTGCAGAGCCCCAGGGGTGGTGAGGAAACCTCAGCTCCTGCACTGCCCTCCAGCTTGGAAAAACCCATCCAGGAAAAGATGAGGGATCCTTTGAACCCCAGGAAGAAGAATCCACAGAGCTGCAGCCCAGAGGAGGCAGATGGGCCAGAGGGACACCCACCCTTCCCACTGCCACATTTCTCCAGCCACCCTTCAGGAGCCTCCTTGGACATGTCTGCTGGGGAGGCAGCTACGAGCACACCCGTGTAAACAAGGAAATAGGTTTCCCTGCAAAGCTCCCGGTCACCAGAGCAGCTCATCCAAAGTCCAGCTGCTCAGGGTTTATTACCCAGTGCTTTGTCTCTGCTGTTCCCACTGCCACTCGTTGTTTGTCAGGTACATGTAGAACAACAAGGTTCAGGAGCCCAAGAGACAACACACGGAGTTACAGCTCACCAGGAGTGGTGAGCCCATGAACTTTGCCTCCCTAAACACTGCCCAGCTCTACAGGGCTTACAACCCTTCCCGAAAGCCCTGCCAGGCCAGGCCCAACCCTTTTCCCTCCAAACACCAAACTGCAAGGTTTCTAAACATGCCTGGCTCTTTCTGTTTAAAGTAATCATTCAGGAGATTGGTTTTTCCTGCTGCATTTACACCTTGGTGGCTACAAATCTCCCTGTGCCACCTCTCTCTGGGGGTTGTCTTGATGTTTTAAGAAATGAGCAGTCACCTCTTGATATGTCCCACCACCACATACAGCTGTGCCTTCACTTGTATTTAGGCAGTGAGATACACAGAATGAGAAGGAAAACCCCTTGGCCCTGAAATTCTCCAAGGCTTGGAGAGGCTGAATGATTGTGTAACTCCAGAACGGTTACTAAAGAACATGTGGAAAACGATGACTAGCTTTGGACAATACCAGAGCAATTCCTGTCCACGCAGTGGAGGCTGCAAACCCCACTAATCAAGGTATTACCTGCCTGAGCTTCAGCCATTTAATCCTCAAGGCTCAGAAACACCAGCAAAATGCCAGCCAGGGTCAGAGGTGTTAGTAAACAATCCACTCATGGCCAGGCTAAACCTCTCCAAACTGCAGGAAACAGCCCAGAACCTCCGCTCAGGAAAGGTGGAGGCAGCTGGAGCCGGCAGCTCCCTTCATCTTTTCCCTGGTGCTATTAGCCCCGGGCACTGAACCGCGGGTCTGTGCCTGCTTACCCTTAGCAACACCACAGTCCGCTCTGCCGGGCCCTGCAGCGCCGGCCCGGCCGCGGGCTTTCATCCGCCGTGGCACTGCCGCGCTCCCAAAGGAGCCTTGCACCGCGCCGGGAGCCCCCGGCACCTTCCAGAACCTTCCCTCGCCTCCGCCTCTCCTTCAGCTCCCGTCAGCCGCCTCAGCGATGCACGGACACGCTGCGGCTGAGGGAAAAACGGCACCAGGAGGGGTGGGCAACGCGCCCACACTTTATTAGCGCTGATGGAGGGCGCGGGGGCCAAGGGGCTGCTGCTCCACCGCCTCTCGGGCCGCGGAGCTGTACGGCAGCTAAGAGCCAAGCGGTCTCCACCAAACCCCCGCAGGCTGCAGGAGGGTAATGACAGGGTCTGCGGGGGTTCGCGGTGCCTAAGGGCGGCAGTGGCGGCACCGCTCCCCCCGGCCCGGCCGGGCCCGGCGCTCCCTCACGTCAACAGGAAACCGCACGCGGCCGACTGTAAACACCGCCCGCGCCCACGTGACCGTGTGGCCCCGCCCCGCGCGCGGCCCGCCCCCGCCGCCCTCCCATTGGGGGCCGCGCCGTTGTTGACCATATACGGTCAGGTACTACCAAGCCGCGGGCGGCGGTTGGTCGGCCCCGCGCGTCACTCAACGAGCGCCGAGTGCTCCGCAAACAAAGCGGGGCCTACTGGGAGTTGTGGTCCGAGCGGGGGCAGGGCGGCGGGACGGTGTCGTGAGCGGGAACTACAAGTCCCAGGGGCGCCGCGCGGGCCGGGCAGCGCCGCCCCGCCCCGGGCGGCCGTGGGCGGGGCTGGGCGGGCGCCGTGAGTCAGTGCCCGGTAAACATTGGCGTGAGCCGCCGGCCCCGCCGTGCTGGCGGCGCCCTGAGGGCGGCGGGGTCCGGGCCGGGGCCATGGACGAGCTCAAGCACCAGGTGATGATCAACCAGTTCGTGCTGGCGGCCGGATGCGCCGCCGACCAGGCCAAGCAGCTGCTGCAGGCGGCCCACTGGCAGTTCGAGGTGAGGCCGCCGCCCCGGTACCGGCCCCGGGCGGGTCCCCGCGTGGGGGCATCGCGGGGGGTTCGGGCAGCGTGGGTCGGTGCCCGGCCCTGCGGACACGCCGCTGCCCCCCCGCCTGGCGGCGGGCTGCGCCGCCGACCAGGCCAAGCAGCTGCTGCAGGCGGCGCACTGGCAGTTCGAGGTACGGGACGGGCCGCCGGCGGCACGGATCGGGATAACCCGCACGCGAACCGGGACGCCCCGGGTCGCGATCCGCCGCCCGCCTGCCCGCAGAGCCGCGGGGCGGAAGGCGGTGGGGGTGGGGGCAGGCCTGCGCGGCCCCGGCCCACCGACAGGCGGGGCCGGGTTTTGGGGGGTCCTGCCCGCCCCCCCGGCACCCACACCGGGGCGGGGGGCGATTCGGCCCCGGGCTCCGCCGGGTCTATTTATACCCGGGCCGTAACCCGAGCTGCGGCCCGGCGGGCCGGCCCCTCCCCCGCGCTCCGCTCTGGGGGTGCCGCCGAGGGAGGCGGGGGTGCGGACACGGGCCGGGGGTGTCCCCTCGCGTGGGGACCCCCGGGGCCAGGAGGGGACACGATGTGCGCCGGGCCGGGTGGAGGACAGCCCCGAGGCCTGGCGGGGTGGGGGCACCCCTGGGTGGTGCCCCCCGGGGCGGTCGGAGAGGGTGGGAGCGAGCGGGGGGCTGCGGGGTGAGCTTTGGGGGGGCCCGTGTTGTCCCTCCCCCTTTGTCTCGGGTGGGCTGGAGCTGACAGCTTGTCCCCACAGACAGCCCTCAGCGCCTTCTTCCAGGAGACCAACATTCCCAGCAGCCACCACCCCCCCCAGATGGTAAGTGGGACCCCGGCCCCTCCCTCACCCCTGCACCACCACACGCGCGGCGGCGGGGCGCGGGCCGGGCCCCCGGCGGTGCCCGAGGGAGCGTGGGCGCCACGCGGGGCGGGGGATCGGCAGGCCACGTTGCGCGGGGGGTGCGCAGAGAGGGGCTCGCAGCCTGCCGGGGCCCCACGCCGGACCGCGGCCGGGCCGGGGCCGCCGAATCCGCCGAACCCTCTTGCTGTTCCCCCCCGCCCCCGCCCCAGCCCTCCCGCGTGGCCGTGGGCTGGAAAACCCCAGCGCAGCCTTTCCCACGGCCCTGCCCCGGGGAGTTTGAGTTCTCGGGCAGCCGTGGGAGAGGAGCTTTTGTAGGTCAAAGCTTTTCTGGCTCCAGACGCCTTTTTCTCTCGCTCGCGGGCGGGATACTCCGTGACATTGACAGGGGTTAACGCCGCGCGTGGGGCGGGGGGCGCCGGGGCAGCTCCCCGGTGCCTTTCAGGGTGCTCGGCTCCTGCGGAGATCCCCGGACCTGTGCAGGGAGCAAAGAGCACTGCAGTTGCCGTCGCCAATAAATTGCTTTCTAAAAAGGATTTTTCCTTCTCTTCTGCAGCTCCCTAGGTTGGAGCTGATGGATTTGACGCTAATGGCACCTCGGTAATTGAGATGTCTGTGCTGTGCTGCGGGAGCAGCTCTGAGTCAGGCTGGGGAGCAGGAGGCTCCGTTTGTTCCTCTCCGTGGCTGGAGCACCTCTCCTCCCAGCCGGGGGGCGCGGGCGCTGCTGCCCGGGCTGTCCCGGGCTTGTTCCGTAACGGAGCAGCGGCCGGGTGGAGCCGGCACGGAAACCCTCCATCGCCGTGCGGCCACAGCATTCCCACATGCTCTGTCACAGGCCGGGAAGCATCCCAAAGCAAGCTGCGGAGCGCGGGGTGGGCTTGCAGGGATGGCGGAGGAGCGGGCCAGCGATCCCCACCGCCGTGCCCGGTGAACGGGAGCACTGCTGGCGTGGGATGTGTTGCATGTGTAACGTGCTGCGGCGTTTGTTTACTAACACAGCCTGACAGTGGCCCTCTGGGACAGGCGGGATCCTCTTCCACCACCTCCGTGCGTGTCGCAAAAGAGCCGGGGAGGGATGACAGAAGTTTTAACGTGTCTTTCAAAAGGCTTTTTTGCAGAACTTTGCCACCGTTTGGCGAGTTGCACAAGTACAAACAGCCGTCTCCTGCCGGCTGGGCACTCACATGACTCAGAGGAAGCTGGGCTGTAAACAAACGCTGCTGTTACCATGTTCCCACTCACTTTTGGTGCAACGGTCAGATAATTCCCTTTGCAAAATGGCCGCTGGGCACGGCTCCTTCTGGGAGCCACGCTGGGGAGGGATCACCTCCCGACCACTCCAGCCTGCTCTCACCTCTTTTCTGGGATACTCCCCAGGCTTTTGTTATTCCAGTGCAGCACCGGTTTGCTGGCTGGTCTGCATCTGCATTGAGCATAAATCGGGGGAGTTCAGGCAAGTTCAGTACGAGGGAAGGCAGCATAAATTAACCATCTCCTTGGAGCCAGAGTGCTCCTCCAGGGGCACGCGTGAATGCGATCAGCCAGCTTGTACCTGAGCGTTCTGCTCCTGCCTGTAAGGCCACCGCGGGGAGAGAGAGGTGTTCTGCACTGGGGAGCCAGGCTAGCTCTGTGGCCCAGTGACACACAGCAGGAGCTGGCTTGTCCCAGCTCTGTGCCTCTGTCCTGGCCAGGGCACTCCTGGCATCTATTTGCCCTGTCCAGAACCTTTCCTTTGTGGGCAAGTGTCCCACTTGCTGCCTGTGACAGCCCCTGGGGTGTTTGTCACCAGCAGGAGCGAGAGGGAGGCTGCTGTGAAACATGGACAGCTTTGGGGTGCTGGTGTTTTCGGACCACTTCCCTGGGCTTGGGCTGCTTTCCAGGCTGGCTGCTCAGGGGCCATTGTGTGTTGGAAGATGAAGTGAGGGCTGCAGAGCGGATTTGCTCTGTGTGTGTCTTTCCAGCCCTGGTAGACCCGGAGTTTTTCCGGGGCGGAAGGAACATGATCCAGGACAGTGAGCAGGGTCGGAGGTCAGGAAAACATTTGGGATACAGTCACCTTTGGCTGTAGTGTGAGCTGATCAGAGTCTGTCCCATCCTCGGGGTTGATTAACGAGCCATTTTTTTTTCATCCTATCTATCCCTGGGGAGCAGGGCAGTTCATGGGTAGGGTGTGGATTGCCTCTCCCCCTCGCTGTGACTCCTCTCCTGTTTCCTAGGGACCCTGGGCAGGCTTTCTCCTCTTGCGCCCAGTTTAATTTGCAGCTCTCGCAGCTCTGTGGGCCCTTCCATGCCTCCAGGGATGGCTGCTGTGGGTGCCAGCTGGAATGGCACTGCCAGCCCAGCCCTCCAGCAGCTGGAGCAGTGCCATGGCCGATCCCAGGGGGAGGTTTACAGGCCCAAGAAAGCAACTTGGAGTGTCTCTGGGTGAAGGCTGGCCCTCAGCCTCCAGGGCCTGGCTTTTTGGGAGAAGCCAGGGAGAGCAGCTCCTCTGTGGCTGGAACCCAGCAGGTTACCAGGCAGACATTTCAGAGTTTGCTGTCTCACATGGGGCTGGGCAGTGGATCAGGCTCCTTCATCTGTAGGAAGATATTATTTAGCTTTATGTGCTCATTGCCCTTGGGGCTGTTTGGGAAGGATAAGAAGAAACTGCTTCTAAAAAAACCCACCCGTTCCTTCCTTTTCCTGGTGCTAAGAGCCTCTGTTCAGTGTAGGGAGGTTGTGTGTGGGGAACAAGAGGAGGAGCAGGTGTCTGGCTTTGCTCGCTGTGTCCATGGCTGGATTTCATTTCCTCTTATGTATTTACATTTCATGAAGCCCCTGCTGCTGGGTGCCCCGTGCAGGCAGGGCTCATACCTCCAGCCACCCTCTGACTGAGTCACCACAGGTGCATCTTGGCACCCTGGCAGAGTCCCTGTGTGATCCCTCTCCTGTGAAGCTCCTGGTTTTGCATCCTGGGAGGGAGCACAGTGGCCTGGTCACCTGCTGAGTGTGGCCAGGCCATGGCTGTGGGGCTGCCCTGCTCCCATGCACACCAGGGTGACACAGGGCAGTGGGGCCTTGGCTCCAGGCTCTGAGCTGAGTTGGGCTCGGGCTCCTGCTCCAGCAGAGGAGCCTTAATTGGCTTTGCTGTTGCACCAGTCACGGTGGCACTTGTGACGCTGTCTGGAGACCAGGTGGCATCAGTAGCTTCGGCTACGTGTATGTCCCTGGCCTCTGTGGCACCAAGGGGAGTGTGGGGCCCTCACTTGCGGGGCTGGGGCTCTGCAGGTCCCTTGGGAGGGGACTGGGGGTCATGGGCCTTGTGCTGGGCACAGGAGCTGTTTCTGCTGCGCTTGGAAAGGGGCAGGTGGAGGGGAAGAGACACTGTGTTAGGCAGAGGGGCCTGCAGTGGCAGAGTGCTGCCTCTGCCCAGTCGCAGCTTTCATCCCAGCGCTGGCAGGGGTTGGTGGGCAGCTCAGGGGGACAGCAGGGACCTTCTCTGCCCCTGTCTGCCAGTGGCACAGTCCCAGATATGAAGCCGCTTGGAAAACAGGAGCACAGAGCAGATTTAATCAGCTTATGGTATCTGGCTGTGCCCACACCTCTGCCTGTGTTTCCCGTTTGGTGTTACCCCCTCTCTTATCACGATCTGTCAGCGATAAGGCCTCTGGGTGTTGACGTCCGACCTCACCCAGGACAAAGGGTAGCGTGGCGGGGGGTGTCACTGCCGCAGAAGTCTCTGTGTCGGACATTTCCTTGATTCAGAGCCATGTGCTCTGTCCAGAGCTCTCTGCAGGGCCACAGACCCTGTTCCATTCCTGCTGCATTGCCATCTCAGGGATCTGGTGGGTCCTGCCTGCAGGAGCTGAGGGCTCTGAGCCCGCAGCGTGGCCGGGTGCAGAGTTCAGGTGCTGTGTTATTAAATGCAGCTGTTGCAGGGAAGAGCCTTGCCAGCCCAGCTATTGCACACTCCCCCCATGGTCTGGGAGCTGCCAGACTCTGCAGCAGGAATTGCTTCCCCCACCCAGGTCTGGATCATTGTTTGCAGACATTGCTCTGGCTGCCACCTGGTCGTACCAATAGTTTTCTGCTATTTAGTAAGGAAACCATAAACCTCTTTGCCTTCCCAGGGTCTGCCAGCCTGGGTGTTTGGGGCAAAATCAGTTTTCCCATTGGATCAGTGAGCTGAACTGACTTGCTGTCATTCATCCTGGCCCTGGGAATGACACAGGAGCCTGTGGACGCTGGGATGAGGAGCATGGGTGGTGGCAGGACTGTGACTGCTGCAGTTGGACAGGGTTTGGTACAACCTCCCTGTGCTTTTTCCAGGCTTTTCTGCCTTTTTTTTCCCCAGTAGCTTGGGTAACCCCAATCTCTGGATCTCAGAAAGCGAGCAGAGTCTCAGGCAGAGTCGCAACACCCAGCCACAGTCCCGGACCTCACACCTCAGAGTGGAGACCTGAAGGCCCTGGGGAGAGGCCTAAAGGGGGTTTTCCTTCAACCAGAATTAAATCCAAACCAGTTCTCCATCAAGTCTCATCTACAACTGAATCAAAACCTTGGTTTCTAGCCCTGGCTCAGTTGAAGCCTGGCACAGAACAGGAGTCACCATCATGGAATCACAGAATGTTTTGGGTTGGAAGGGACCTTGAACCAAGGTCACCCCCCTGCCATGGGCAGAGACACCTTCCACTATCCCAGGTTGCTCAAGCCCCATCTGACCTGGCCTTGGACACTTCATGGATGGGGCAGCCACAGATTCTCTGGGCAACCTGTGCCAGGGCCTCACCACCCTCTAAGAAAAGAACACCATTCCCTCATCAGCTCAGTGCTGTGCACCCCCAAACCTCTTGCTGCCTCTGCTCCTCCCAGACCTGGGCTGGGTGTCTGCCCTCCTGACCATCTTCTTCCCCTGGCCTTCCCTACCTGCAACCCTTCTTGTCCTCTCACATGCCTGTGGCATGTGACATATTTACCAGACTATTGCTGGTTTTAACTGGAAGCTACAAAACAATGTCAGTCCCCATCATGCTCTGTCTGCAACTGAATTGGAAATGTTCCGGCATATGGGGTGGGTACCTGCTGCAGCCCCTGCTCTGGGGATCTCCTGGTGGGAATATGGGGACTGTGATCATGCCCTGTTGAAGACATGCCTTTAACTGGATCCTGTCAATCCTGGGGTTGGATTTGGTTTCCTTTGTTTCCCAGCACACGGTGGTTTGCAGAGTGTCATTGTGAGTTGTGAAACACCTGCTGGGTTCTGCCCCAGCAGTAGCTTCTTCTGGCAAGGATGGTGGTCCCAAATACAAATGATGACCACCTGCCCTGGTGTGAGCAGATGGCAGGCGCAGGTCCCAGTTTGGGAACAGGGAGCAGCTGTGCCCTCAAGGCCCCCCAGGGCCTGTTTTGGATCATCTTTGGGGTCTAGTAGTGTGCAGGGTTGAGGTGGGTGCCCAGTTTGGGTGCTGGTAGTAACATCATCTTTCCCTTTTTTTTTTTCCATTCCTTTCAGACTGCTCTCAGTGCTTTTTTCCAAGAAACAAACATCCCCTACAGCCACCACCATCAGATGGTAAGTGCTTTCCCAGCTCCCCAGCGCTCTCCCAGGGCAGAGCACCAGCTGGCGGGTGCTTCAGGCTGGTGCTCGTGTCCAGCTCACCGCTTCACAGCTCCAGGAGTGCAGGCAGGGAGGTCTGGCTGGGCAGTGCCAGAGCTGCCTGCCAAGGAAGGTTTTCCTGGAGAGCAGCTGGTGGCATAGCCTGCCCTATGCAGTGCGACAGCAGAGCCCTGCAGATGGTTTGGGGCTGCTCTTCCAAAAGGGATAGAGGGAGGGAGGGAGGGAGGAAGGACGTTTTGGGCATAGCCAGTGGTCCACACCAGCCCAGCATGGCAGAGAGAGCCTGGAGGAGCCTGAAGCTCTGACCTGTGTAAACACACAGATACATGGTGCTTCCCATCCTGCAGCAGCACACACACAGGTCCTTGTGCACTTGCTGGAGTGAGCAATTCCCGGAGCATTGCCAGAGCGTGGCTCTGGTGCGGCGTGCAGAGCGTCTGGAGGTGTGTAAACACCCACACGTGGGTGCTGCCTGCCTCTGCTCTCTTCCAGCTGTCCCCAGACTCAGTCCCTTAGCTTCCATGCCCCAGCAGCCCATAATCTGCTTGGGCAGATGTGTCTTAAGGATTTACTGGCTGCTGTGGCCTTGTTTGACTCTCCGGAACAATTGGGGATTTGGAGCACGCAAAGCAAGTGCCCAGCAGGGCTGGAGCATGCCCAGTGTCCTGGGGGATGGGAGCTGAGCCTGAGCCTTGTGCCCGCAGAGCCAGAAAGCTGCAGGCCCAGGGTGGCACCACTGAGTTGTGGAGCAGAGGGGGTCCCTGACTTGGCTGGGCATGGGGGGTCCTGGGTGGGCCCTCTGCCAGGAGCTCTTACCACAGCATGAGCCTTCAGACCCTTAAATGGAGCTCCTCATGGGCTGCGCAGTCAGCAGAGCGCTGGTCTGGGGGCTTCATTTGCCACGGCAGGGGGCAGAGGAGTGTTGTGCCACGCCCTGGTGGGAGGCAGAAGGTGGGGACTCCTCTGACCCCGTGTCTCCTTCCCACAGATGTGCACTCCTGCCAACACGCCGGCCACGCCGCCCAACTTCCCCGACGCCCTCACCATGTTCTCCCGCCTCAAGGCTTCCGAAAGCTTCAACAGCAGTAGCCCCGTGGCCTCCATGGCGACTTCCCCGCCGCCCCCGGCCCCGCCGCTGCCCCAGCACGGGGCCTTCAACCCCGCCTGGCCCACGGCCTCGCCGCCCGGGCAGCAGCAGAGCATGTGGACTCCGGCCGCGCCGGCGCAGCCCGCGGGCTGGCCAGCCGCCGTCTCCCAGCAGGCCAGCGCAGAACAGAAGGCCAACGTGACCATGGAGGCAGAGAGATGAGGCCGCGGCGGAGAGCGGACGCGGCGGGGACCCCTGCGTATAAATATATATATATTTTTTCTCCCCCCCCTCCCCAAAGAGGAGAGGAACTCCGCTGCCAGGGCGTCTGGCAGCCGCCGAGACACATGAGCAAATAGCTGCCTTGCATGGGTTTGGTTTGAAGTAGTTTTTACTTGTTCTCGAGCTGAATGGAGCTCCCCAGAGACAGCGGGAGGCTGCGTGGGACCGGTGCTGGCCTCTGCCTGGGACCCTGATGCTGCCAGACTCTTGGGGAGGGAGCACCCCCTCCTCTCCTGGGACACCGGAGTTTGCATGCCAGTGACATTTATGGAGGAGGTCCCTTCCTCAGGGTCCCCTGGGCCGTCCCACCAGGCAGAGTGGGTTGTCCCTAAGTGTTTTCCCCTATCCCTTGGCCCCGATCAACTGGGTGGGGGGCAGACACCCCTTGAGGCTTGTTTTTTTGTTAGGGGTGGAGAGAGCAAGGGCTGTTCCTGCACCACCACAGCCTCCACCCCACACACACCATCGTCGCTGGTGAGCAGGGCTGGGGGACACCAGCCCTCGGGGAGGCGTCTGGCCCCTCACCCAGCCCCGGGTGGGGAGCAGGGGGTGAGCACTGGTGGTCCGGCTGGGCCAGCACACCCTACCCTCCAACCTCCCAGGATGGGGTTTGCCCCAGGGCTGTTTTGCATGACACAGTGTAACCCTAGAGACTGGGATCGTTTTTAACCCCTCTGTTCTTTTCTCCCGGCGGCTGGAAGTCTCTCCGGATGCGCCGCAGCCGCTTGCAATACACGCTCTTCTGCTTTGAACCCCGTGTCTTTGCTTCGTTTGCAGCAGTGGCAGGACGCAGACAAAGCTGCCCTGTGCCTGGAGTGTTTCAGGATCCCCTTTTCTGTGATTCAGTGCATCCCAGGAGGGCTGGCTGCATCTCCAGCTGCTCCAAACACCCTGTTCCAGCCATGCAGTGACTGCCAGCTGCTTTTGGCCAGGTGCATCCAGGGCTCAGCCCCAGAAGCCCGGCTCTGCCACATCAGCTGCGGTGTGAGACCCCAGCAGGCAGGGCTGTGCTGAGTCCTCAGGATCCCTTGTGACATCCACAGGTTCTGGGTGTTTTGCTGTGACCTGGCTCCTGTCCCCTCTTCCAGGTCCTTTGGAGGTTGCTGTCCTTGCCAGACCCTTTCCCAGCAAGGCTGTGCCCCTGCACTCCCCAGTCAATAATTAATTTCAGTCTCTTATTTGTGTTGCTAAAATAAACAATGTAGGAGGGATGGTTTCACCGGGAGTGCCTCTTGGACAGCCTGGGCAGGGCCTGGGAGCAAGGGCTGGAGCTGGGGCTGGCCCTTCTGAGCTTCCCTGCATGGAGTTGTGCTGGAGCTGCCACCCTCAGTCCTGCCCCACTGAGATGAAGTGGGTCAAGCTGGTGAGCCCTGGAGTGAGCTGTGGTGGGCACATCCAGGCCAATCTGGAGTCTTGCTGGGAGTGGGGATGGTCTGTGAGGTGGGAGGCTGCAGCACAGAGCCACCCAGGGCACACAGAAGGGATTTGTCCCCAGCCTTGAAGAGAGACAACTGCCTGAGAAACACAGGTGAAGCCACAGGGAGGCCTGGGTGGTGAGGAGGGGAATGTGCTTATGACCGTCCAGGGCCACCAGGAGCCACAGGATTGGAAAATGATGTGCCAGAGCACAGACCTGGTGATCTGACTGGTCAGAGAGCTGATGGGGATGTGGCACAGCCCATAAGTGCCAGACTTGCTGCCCTGTGTGTCCCCAGGAGCTCAGGGACTGTGCTGAGGAGGCAACAGAAGAAGGAGCATCTCTGGCCTGTGGTGTTACCCCACTGCAATGAGTGGGTGCCAGGGCAGTGTGACCCCAACTCCACCAGTCTCCCAAGGCCAGGCAGCACAGCCTTGGTGCATGTCCCCCTCCCCAGCCCCCCATGCCATTTCACAGCCCCATGGCCAGCCTGGACACCTGTGAGTTTGACACCAGTCGCCCAGGAGCCTGGCTTTGTCACCTGCACCTGCAATGCACAAGGACAAACAGCCAAACAGCCTTGTGTGGGGCAAACAGCCTCAGCAGCTCCCCGGGGAGTGCTCAGCAGCAGCACTGCCCACGTGGCAGGGGACACTCAGGACAGGCACCTGTGTGAGTACTGGGGAATGCAGCTCATCCCTGTGGTGTGCCAGGAGCAGAGCTGGGGGGATCTTCATTGCTGAAGGGGGAGAAGCAGAAACAGTACAGGGGGACAGCCATCCCCTGCAGACCCCTGCCCTGCCACCGCCCCAGTGCCGATGCTTGTTCACAACACCCAAGCCCTGCTCCATCAGCCCCTTGTTCATCTCTGGGTGCTTCACCATCCCACCATCCCCTGACCTCCCCTCATCCTCCTTGGAGCCACTCACCATTGTTTATCCCCAGCTCCACCAGCATGGCATGGCAATAAAATCCTGGCACACTGAGCTGCTTTTGAGTGGGGATGTGTCAGGTCTGGGCAATCCTGTGCCCAGCCTGGTTCAGGCACCAGCCATGGCACAAGTGGCTCCTGAGCTGTGCCCAGAGACTGTCCCTGCCTTGGTGTCACCCCACAGCTGCTGTGCAGCTTCCTGCAGCCTCATGCACTGCTCCTGCAGCTGGCCCAGCACCTCCCTGCCTAAGCCCAACCTCTGGGGAGAAGATGTGGCCTTGGGTGAACCTGGGTGGCTGCAGAACCTGGGCAAGGGAGGGAGGTGTGTTTGTGGTAGCCCAGAGAGTGGCTAGTGAGAGCATCCTGAGAGATGCCCCAATGTGTTCCTGGCGAGTGGGATGTGGGGTTGCAGCCCCCAGGCCTTTGAGCTTGTTCAAAGCTCAAACCTCCTGAGACCATGGGCAGTTGGGCACCTTCTACATCCTGCAGCTGCTTTATTCTCACCAGCACCTTCTGCAGATGGACAGTCGTGTCCTCCAAGTCTCTGAGCTGGCTGAAAACAGACACCAAAGTTTGCTCTGGGCAGCTTCAGCTCCTGCAGGCCCCCAGCAAAGCAACATCCCAAACCTGGGTGGGTTTATAGTGGAGACCCCCTGGCACTGCTGCCAGGCCCTGGGCATGGCCAGCACTGGGGTGCCAGAGAGGACAGTGACCACATCCCCCCCAGCCATGTCAGTGCATGAGGCAGAAGGACAAGGGGGCTGCAGTGGCCTGTGGACTCAGATGGGCTGAGTGTGGCTTTGCCGTTCACCTGGCAAAAGTCTGGTGGCACAACCTGGCACAGTGGCCTGGTGTGACAGAGCTGTCGGTGCCTGCGGAGCTCTCATGTGGCTGACAGATCCCTATGGCCTCCTGCTGCTCCAGCCGTCAGCCCAGCCTGTGGGGCCTTGTGGGCCGGCACTGCAAGGCCTCAGGACTGAGCTCCCAGCCAGAGCTTCTGAAACCAAACAGCCCCTGAGGTTCTGGGGGGAGAGAAGAGCCCCAGCCATGCTGGAGCCAAGGGGCATTGCCAGCAAAGGAGCCTGGCACTGAGAGTCTGCAGCGCCTCAGCAGGGAGCACCTCACAGAGAGAGCTCTGGTACAGCTCCTGAGACAGCTCCACTGTGAGCAGGAGAGAAATCAGCCCTTCCACCCTGCTCCAGGAGGGAGAGCCTGGGCAGCCCCTGGATGGGGCAGGAGACTCCAAACCTTGACACCACCCCCAGTGCCTTCCCATCCGCAGCACTGTGGGTCTCCCCCACAGCTGAAATCAAAATTTTAGAGGGTAAAGTCCTGCACTGCAGGAGGGACAAGAGCAGTGGAGGTGGCCAGGACACTGGGATACCAGGGGTGGGTGGCTGCTCCAGTGGCTGTGAGGGTGACATGGACCCAGGCAGGTCACTGCAGCCAGAGCAACCTTTTAGGAGGCTTCAGTGCATTTTCCATAAGGATTTGTGAAAGATTGTCACCTCAGTCACCCCAGGCACCTGTGCAGGTCATGGGGAGAGACCATGCAGGTCTCTGGGGAGCCCAATCTCTCTGCAAAGAGCTCTCCAGTAACTGGTCGAGCTCAGCTGCATGCACCTCCTGGAAATTTGTTGCAGCTGGGAGCCCTCAGCAGTGGTTTTCAGGGAGCAGAGTATGGTGATGATCTGCAGCATGGCTGTGACCATGACTGCATGTGCAGCATGGGTTTGACTGCTGGTACCAGGTCCCCACAGGCATGGGGACATGGAAAGAAGGGAAGCTAAGAAATGTGTGGAGAAGACCAGGACTTGGGGAAGTTTCTCTGGGACCCACAGCACCAGCCACACCCAGCCAGCCCACAGTGGTGCCCACGGAGTTCCCCCAAACTGAAGTGAAAGATGTCCAAAGGCGAGAAATGTCCCAGCTTCAGCTTCGCCACGCTGGCAAAATGCCGTCCCCTTTGCTCTGTGGCTGTGCTCAAAGCCAAGGTCACAACTTGTGCGGTGGGACTGGTCTGGGGCTGCCAGGTCTCGCAAGGGATGGAGTGCCAAAATTGCTGCGGGCCAGGCCCGTGCTGCCTGTGGAGAAGACAGGAAGGCACGAGGCCACCACAACACATTCTTGTGCTGCAAGGTGTGAGCAAGGCAGGTATTTCTGATCTTACGTACAGCATCTTCCACTCAAGAGTCTAGACTTGAACTTGTGGCAATGTCACCCACTAGATTGTGCTTTGACATGGGGACAGCCTGCCTGTCCTGCTGTCACCTGCAGCTTGGCCACTCACTGTGGCAATGTCACCCACTAGATTGTTCTTTGACATGGGGACAGCCTGCCTGTCCTGCTGTCACCTGCAGCTTGGCCACTCACTGTGACACAGGGAGAAGAGGAGCCTGCAAGGCCCAGGGCTGTTCCTGCATGGGGAGTGGGAGCTGTGTGCTCCAGCCCAGAGTGACCCCAGGCAGAGCTGCCAGGGCAGGATGGGACCCAGCACACCTAAATCTCAGAGCAGTATCTCTGGAGCCCTAGGGGCAGGTGAGAAGTGACTGAAAACACCTGTGGCTGTGTTAGAATGCTGCTCTTTTAATTAGTCCCTGCAGTGCAGCTAAGACCACTGGACACAGGTGATTTTGTGGTTCCACAGGCTCCCTGGTCCTGGGGCAGCCAGAATCCATGGCATAGGCATGTCACTGTGTGGGACAGGGCATCATGTGGGGCATGAGCTGGGACACCTGGTAGGGAAGGCACCACGTGCAGGACAGGGAAGAGATGGCTCCAGGGAGACCTCAGAGACCCTACCAGTACCTCAAGGGGCTCCAAAAGAGCTGGAGAGGGACTTTGGGCAAGGGCATGGAATGACAGAACAAGGGGGAATGGCTTCGAACTGCAAGAGGGGGAATTAAGGTTAGATATACAGAAGAAACTTCCCTGTGAGGGTGGGCAGGCCCTGGCACAGGGTGCCCAGAGCAGCTGTGGCTGCCCCTGGATCCCTGGCAGTGTTCCAGGCCAGGCTGGACAGGGCTTGGAGCAGCCTGGGATAGTGGAAGGTCTCCCTGCCCATGGCAGGGGCTGGAATGGGATGATCTCTACAATTCTTTCCGGGACAAACCGCGCTGTGACTCCCTGACTCTGCGGCTCCCCGGAGCTGTCCAGTGCAGCGGGAGCAGGCCGGGCCCGGCCCCCGGCGGGCCCAGCGCGGCCCAGGCCCGCCCCGCCGCGCCACCGCCCGCCCAGTCCGGCCCGCCCCGCCCGCCGCCGCCAGGTGCCGGAGCCGCCGCCGGGAGCCGGTAGGTGCCTGTGGGCGGTGGGGATCGGTGCGGGACCGGCGGGACCCGGGGGTCTCGGGGGGCCGCGGCGGGAAGGCGGCCCGGGCCCCCTCAGCCCCGGACAGGCCGCGGCGGCCTCCCGGTAGCGGGGCCGGCTGGACACACCGGAGGGAGACACTGAGAGCCGGGGGGGCACAGGCATGGGGGTATACCGAGCACGGGAGGACACTCGGCGCTGGGGGGACACTGAGCATAGACGGGGACACAGGCAGGAGAAGACCAGCACGCTCTTGGGAGAAAGAGGGATGGAAATCCAGCCCTGGCTAACTCTGTGAAGAGGAACCAGGCCGAGGGAAGGGCTCGGTGCTCGGCCGTGGCTGGAGCGTTCGCTGCGGAGCCGGGGACGTGCGGCTGGATGGGGACATGGGCCCGGAGCGGAGCGGGAGGCAGCCCTGGCCTCGGACGGGCCTGTAACGCTGACCGAGTGTCGCAGGGTACTGCTAAAATCTTACAAAGCTTCAGCTCTGTGCCCTCAGCACTGCCGGGAAGGGCTGGGACGGGAGGGCTGGGATGAAATTTAATCGGGTGGAAAGCGAGGTCGTGTACTTGGGAAAAGACTTCCCGGTGTAAGGCGAGCGCTGCTGCCCGGCCGAGGTCATGAGCTGGCGGGGAGAACGGCGGGGGCTGCAGCGGGGCACAGCTGAGAGGGGAGCGAATGTGATCCGCACAGATCCCGGGAGAGAAGGGAAGCAGGCCTAGGAACGAATGTGTGTGTTTCCAGTTACCCCTGCTCGGGAGAGACTAGCTCGCCCAGTGGTCAGGGATGATGAGCCCATTTTAGAGAGCCGAAAGAAGCTGAGGTGTCTTGACAGGCAGGAAGAGAAATTATGATGGTGAGGATGATATTGGCACATTGGCAGTGTGAAATGAAGAGAGTTCCTTCAGTTAAGGTATAGTGTGGCACAGCAACGAACACCAAGGAATAAAAATTAGTGGGAATTTGTGGGGTTTTTAGCCATTAAAATGGTGAGGTCTGGCTTTCCCTCCCAAGGGGACTGGAAAGGCAGAGGGTAGCAGCTGTAAGGCAGTGTTTGGTTGCTTTAGGAAAAGCACAGGGGGTGGTGGTGATTGCTGCTAAACAGAGGAATGAGGTTGGGATCCTGGGGAGATCTCAAGGGCTGTGTCGGAGTGGGAACCTGCAGGCTGGGATGGACACTGCCATGCCAGTGTCCTCTGGATCCTCCACATGAGCCATACTCAAGGTTAAACTTCTCCAGGTCCCTGCAAATGTAGGTTTGTGCCCCTTGGCCTGAGGAAAAGCTGCTCTGAGGTGGTCTCCTTGCACCAGTGAGAACTGGGAAGGGAATTGTCACATTCTAGGCTGAGCCTAAAATATCAGGTGGTAGAGATGTGGTCAGGCACAATGATTTTAAGTAGCAATGTTTTAAATTATAATTCTAGTGGGTTTGGGCTATGTGTAGAACTCTCTGAGAAACTCTTTGGGAATATGCACAAGAGCCTCCTGTTTGTTCTCTTCACTCAAAGTACTTAAAAGGGGGCTTTAATTTCAGCAGGGGCCCTGCTGATTTCAGAGTGTGACCAGAGCAGGCAGCAGGAAAAACTACAGTGAGTATTACACAGACATAGCGTGGTGTATAATCACAGTATGTCATTCAGTCATGTTCAGGAGCTACACAAACTCGTGTGGAAGCACAGGCTGCAAACTTCCCTCTCCCAAAGGCTTCTGTGTCTCGGTGTTGTGGTGACATGATGTGCCCCAGGAAATCCCCAGAAGTGTTCAACCATGTGGCTGCTCTGTTCTCAGGTGTTACGTGAGGAGCTAATTCCTGCTTGGAGGTAGGCAGGTGGTGACTTCATGGCTGTGACAAGGGCAGGGGGATGGAGCAGTGTCCCCAGATGTCCCTGAGCAATGCCAAGTGGAGCAAACGTGGTCAGTCCTGCCCAGCTGCCCTTACAGGGGTGGTGGAGCTGCAGTGGCTGTGTGTGCTCAGGGCTGACTCAGGCTGGTGCTGGAAATGGGATGTGTGTGTTCCCACTGAGTACCAAAACATCCTGCCACAGGTGTGACAGGGACAGGTCACACCGAGGGAACTTCTCTGATTCCGGAACCCTTCCTAAGATGGAAGACCGTGCTGAGCTTCTTGTGTTCCCTCAACCGGTCTTGCACCTCAAATTCAGTTCTGAAACTCACTCCCTTGTGTTCCTGCTCTGTCTCAGCTGCAGTTACCAAGGGAGGGAGAATGTCTCCCTCAGCACCTGGTGTTGGTTTATGAGCATGTTTGTGAAGGTCACTTCCAAATCAGCTCTTTCTGTGCCTGGGAAGCCACAATGGGCACTGCTTTCCTTCTGGGTGGAGCACAGGGGGCAAACATGTCCTGGGAGCGCAGCTAAGGTGCTCCTGTAGCTGAGGGATGTTCAGGCAGGGCCCAGACTAAAGCCTGTCCACAACATCTGTATGTTTTGGGGGGAGTTTGGGTCCTTGTCACAGTGTTGGCACCTGCAGAAGTGTTGCCACTGCCAGTCTTACTCACTAAGACAGCCAAAGAAGGGATGAAAGTAATTTTATTATGTAAAAGATTTTTTTTCCTTTCAGATGTGAATTTAGCAGATAAATGCATGTGTTTAAAGGATGGTGTTGGTCTTCCAGTATGAGGATGAGTGGTTTTGGAAGGAAATACACAAACTTGTTAGTATCTGCTCTGATCCAAGACTTGTTTTCTGCTTGTGGGTAAAGAGAAGTATGAAAATCAGAGTTCTATGTCTATTTGTGGTACATTGTAAAGCCCCACATTTGATTTCTTATGATTGCTTTAATCAGGAGAGACTATCCTGGATTGAAAGAACCTACATTTTTTTAAAATAGTGGGTTTTATGGGATCTGCAGTGGGGCTGGTGCTCACTCCTGCCACTATTAGCAGGGCTTTGTACCATGTGACAGTTTTCCTGTACCTTTCCAGGAAAGGCTGGTGGCTGCCAGGTGAGCCAGAGAGGCAATAAATAGTATTTGCATAATATGGAGATTAAAATAATGAGAAAGGCAGCAGGACTGAATATAGCTGAGCTTTTAGACAGGTGTGCCAGCTTCTCAGAAGGTGTTCTCCCAGAGTGGGCTGTGCAGAGGTGCTGAACACAGGGTGGGCAGGAGAGTCAGGAAACAGCAAACAGATGCTGGTGTGCCTGGTGGCTCTTAGCAGCAGTCAGTGATGTCCCAAAAGGACTTGAATTGTGCACTACTCTTCCCTTTTCCCTGATACAAGAACAGTAATGGTTTGTAGTGGGAACTTTAGTAGTTCTGCAAGACACGGGAGGTTTTTGGTTGGTTTTGCTTCCACGACCTGATTTTGCAGCTCTTATGCAGAATCAGGACTCCAGCTTGGAGCCAGTCAACTCTCCTGAAGGTTTCAGAGCAAGGCACCTGAGCACACAAGTGTGCAAACACAGAGGTCTGTGTACACTTTTTCCTTCAAAAAACACACAATGAGCAACTTCTGCCTTGGGATGTGATGTTCACTTGCTGTTTTCCTGCTGTTCCCAAACAGCACTGGGTATCCATCTCACAGCTGGAGAGATGCAGTGCCACTTTCATGAGCAGTGTCAGATCTTCACATGCTCTGCATAGGATCTGTCTCCTCCTCTGATCAAAGGGAATGCAATTGGAGCAGCTGCCATAGGAAGCCACAATCAATTTTCTCACCAGAATAAAGTCTCTGAGGCAAGGGGAGCTCAGATTTTATTTCTGGCATGAAACACTCAGGGAGACTCTTGGCTGCTGTTACAGTTTTGCTTTGGGCCCCTTAGTTCTGAGCTGCCTTGTGGCTTCAGTCTTAAATTGTGTGTTTGTGGTGGTGAGAAACAGCTGTTTGAGGGCAGCCCTGTTCTGGTCATGGGTATGGGTGGAGGATGGAGGCAGGAGCAAAGTGCTGCATGCTGCACATCTCCACGAGGGGCACTTCAGTGCAGCTGTCTTTAATCTGAGCTGTCTTAGAAGGCCTGCATTTAGGGTAAGAAAATAAAAGAAATAGCCCCAAAAGGTGGCAATGTGGTTAACAGCTTAGGAACTGTGCAGGGCAGCTGCTGGCAGTGCATATTTGACTTTGTACCACTTGGCTTGATGGAACCTGAGATCATCAGAGAATGAAGAGCTGACCTGGGGCTTTCTGTGCAAATTAAGTAATATATTTCATTTTTACTGTGATTAGTAAGATTACTGTGCATTAGTAATAGTTCTATCCTTTGCCTCCTTTATACCTAAGATGGAATATTAACCAGTTCTATAGATTTTAGGATAAAGCATTTGTGCTGAGATGGGGGTCCCACTGCCCTGAACTGTCTCTCCTGTGTATGTTCCTGAACCTTCTTTGATACCCAGTCTCTGCATTTAGAAGGAAAATCTTCCCTACCTTGCACTTACAGCCTGGCTTCCTATTAACAGCTTTGGAAGATGTTTTTGGAAGAAGTATTCTGCTTTAAGTTTACACATTTACTGTTCCAGCCTGCATTCTGTCTTACAATCCTAAATTCTATCACACCTTACTGTGATTCATGCACATCAGCCCATGCTGTAGCTGTGTTTCATCTTTCTTTGCTCCTGCATTTTTGCAGAGAAATAAATTTCACAGTTTGAACCATGAGAGCCTGTTTGCTTTGGGACAGTTTCCTTGAGCTGTCATTCTGGAGTTTGTGTCAAGGTTGGCTCTACATATGAAGGGCTTGTGGTTTTCCCAGCCATTCCCAGAGCTGGGCAGAGGTGAGCAGTTACACCTGAGCACAGGTGATCTGCCACGGGCTGGGGACAGCAGGCTTTGTCCTCTGGGGCCATTCCCCACAGGCAGCAGCTCTGAGGGGCTTCCCACTTCCTACCTTTGCAACTTCAATCTAGCAGTACCTCTCAGGGCAAGATAAAATGAATTAAAAGGTGTTTTCCAGATCTGTTTTCAAGCATAGCTGTTTGAAAAGATGGATGTGGCAGCAGCTCTCTGACCACAGAGAGCAAGGCACAACTTTCCCAGGCATTGTCCTGGGGAAGGCTGTGAGATCTGAGAAAAGAATGGTAAACAATTCTTACCTTCACTTGCTGCACCTGATGTTGTGAACATGTGGAATGTGTTATGGAGATTTGTTTACCAAAGGGTGATTTCTTAATTGGCCAGTGGTGATGGTGTTTGGTTTCAAGGACCAATTGGGTCCACCTGTATCATGACTGTCTGTAAGGGCGATGGGTTTCTTAATTAGTATAGTATAATAAAGTGATTGATCGGCTTTCTGAGAAACATGGAGTCAATGCTAATTATTACCCAGCTGGGGATGCCATGTTAGGACAGATAGACACCTCCCCTTCCCTGATTTGTGAGGGATCATCAAGGAATTGTATGAAAAATAAGCCCCTCATTGCTCAGAAATCTCTTCCTCCCAGAGCCCCCCAGCTGGAGAGCAGGTGTAATCTCTCAGATGATGGGTGAGTGAACAAGATTAC